AGAGACACACACACAGAGACACACACACAGACACACACACAGACACACACACAGACACACACACAGACACAGACACAGACACAGACACAGACACAGACACAGACACACACACACACACGCCCCAAACAAAGGCCCTGCCCTCAAGCACCAGGAAACAGCCTGTGCTGAGCGAGACGCTGTAAACGTGGTCTGCATTCAAGTCCACCGTTCCCTCGGGAAGTTCCTCACCTTCCTCCTCGGCTGAGCATATGAATAGTTCAGGGTGCACAATGTGGGTGCACAATGGTCTTTCGTGGTTCCCACGAAAGAAACTGGCAAATGTTATGAGACATTACGATGCGCTACATTGCCTCTGTCTGCCCTTCTTGTTTAGTCTTGTAATCTCCCCTCTTTAAACCTCAGACTCCTTGTATGGGCGGAGGCTGGCCGAACAATTTGAACCAAGATGCGATCACCACTTCCACCTCCTCGCAATCCTTGGGTCGGAACCAGGCCGTTCGGCAGTGCGATATCCGACACTCTAAACGGCCCAAAGTGTATAAAGCAAAGCCGTATACGACTGAATGAATGCTGCCTTGACGGGTCCAGCACGAGATTTCAGTCTGCGGATGGGCTTGTGCATTCCTTGCCAGTGCGACATTGCCGTGTGTTTGCCACCGGATACCGTGCATGCCAGTGAAGAACCACGAGAAGGCCTCTTGAACTTTTGAGGGCAGCAAACAATGTTGTCTGCACAATAGCAAACCCTCCCACTGCGCGGCCGCGCTTCGTAGGCAAAGTCGTCATCGTGGTCGACTTCGCCGCAATGTGTCGCAAACGCCTCTGCATCACTTAGCAGCGCTCCGCAGCCACCACCTGCTGACCGCAGCGGCAAAAGCTTTGTCGGCTTCAGGTCTCGGGAATCGGCCTTGATTTTCCTGGCCTGTCTGGTGACTTCGGAGACTTCTTTTGTTTGTGATTGGGGCGACGTTTAGTGGGAGACCGGGATCAAAGACGATGACCGGCCGCGTCCTTAGTCGTGCTGGCAGCATTTGCCAGCGTCGACGGCTTCAGGCAGGATTCAAGCAGGAAAGGGCATTTAGGCCAAAGTCTTCAAATATTTGTGGATGCGAGCATCGGCGTTGTTCAGCTGAGTGGCACTTGATCTTCTTGGCGCGCCGCTGCTTAGCTTTCTTCGCGGCCTCCGCGACATGCCTCAGCTCGTGACTACTCAATCCTCGCAGAGCCCCGCGGCCTGGAAAAGTTCAGTCGTGGCTAATCATGGCTAATCGTCATACCGATCATGAAGCTGTTCTTGTTATGACTGCAGCTACGAGTAACTTTGACGACTGTGTCGACTGCTGATAGAAAAATGACAGCCCGACCACGACTACAGCATATGACTGCAAAGGTCATAGCAACAGTAGCAAACATTAACATAAGTGCTCGCCACAGTTTGAACACCCACTCCGGGCAATAACTGCTGCAGCTGCTGCTCGTACTACTCGTACTACCCGCCTAGTCGCAGAAACACTAGGAGTGCTACAAGTACAGCCATCCAAGGCTCAAGGTGAAATATTTTTGCCCAAGCACCGCCGCGCAAGCTCCAGAGCTTTGGCTTCCAAGCTCGTGTCGCCTCGCAGGGCTCTGTTGCTGAGGTATTCTCGTTCGGGCTTGGGGTTCATTGTTTTCGGTCTATGGAGTCTCTCTTGTTCAGGGTTTCATGTTCGGGTTTGAGGAAATCAGAGACTCAACGACGGAAGACTTGAGAATGCGCGAGTTCGTCTTTCTTGGTTTGATCCAGTACTTCAGCTGCGCACACACACATTTGCCTGAAACAGCCAATTCCTTCATCGGGCAGTTCGCTGCATGCTTTTACATTGAGTCCCAAGATCCCGAACTCTGCGTTTCATGCTTCAGGCTACAGGCGGCACGAGCTCCAGCAGATGGTGCCAGGGTGGTCTTGATCGATAGTGAAGGTGTGGGTCCTAGTCTGCTCTTCCGGCTTCATTGCTTCGCTGAGGCTTGTGCTGCTCTCACGAGCTTACGCTTGCGGTGTGAAGCTGATAGAAAACAGTCACCAAGACCTGCACTGCTTCACTTTAACAGTGAAGCATCTTCTTCCCCCTTTGTGGGAAGGAAGGAATTGAATGGGCAGGACGGGCTGCCATAGGAGTTCTGATCTCACCTGGTTCCCTTGTCGACAGCCGCTAGACATGATTTCAGCCCCTGCCTTTTTTGTGCTTCTTCTGCTCCTGCTCCACTGCAACGTCGGCTTCGGCTCCAGACACAATCGGGTCGTAGTGCTGGCCAGTGTAGAGGATGTATATCCTACAGCGGCAGTTTTGCATGTACCCCACTTCTTTGCTAGCAAACGCAAGGCACACTTGCCTTCCCCGCGCACGCAACTGCCCTTATCATGCGCATCAACAAAATAACCATCATGGCCATGGCCAGCAAAATTCCTATAACCTCGATCACCATCAACGGCAACATCCAGATCACTCATCATCATTCTCGTGTCCGTCAGAACCACCTTAGCCATGACCACATCGACAACACCCGCCACCAGCGCCACAAGCGCCACTGACACGCCTGCAGCTAGCCAACACTGCTCCCATGCCAAAAAGCAACATGATGCCCAACATATTCTCATCATCATCGTTGGCTGTCGCAATCGTCATCTGTGTCTATTTCCACCTACGCCGTGCACGTTGTCACCTTCATCCCCAGCACGAAAGACATTGTCACAACCATCATGAGGTTCACAACTGATCATCATCACCCTGCGTCACAACAATATCCTGGGATATGCATATTATACTCTTTCTCTTCCTGTTAACCGCGATCGTAATCTTCGTAACCTCGGTCAAGATACTAAGGCAAAACGACACACAATACCGTAAACAAAAAAGTGCGCCAAACGACTTCGAGAGCGTATGAATTCGCTTCACACACTCGCACCAGGTAGACATGGCTTCACGACGTCCGAGCTTGCTACCCTAATAGCTGAGAATGACAACCGATTGGAAGCGCACAGCCCTCTCCCAAGCCGGCTAAAGCCAAGCAAAGAGAGTGGCTAAGTACACCATACGACAGTATAATCGACAGGGATATACCAAAGTTGTGCAAAGCCCTGTGCACTTCCTACCAAGCTTCATGCCGCACGGTCCTCCAGCAGTCCAGAAATTAAAGAGGGCATGAACATGACGATGCAACATCCAAATCGCCAGATAACATACAGCCCTACTAGATTGCTGGAGGGGCCGCCTCGAGGTGTAGCAAAAAATGTTCAATGTTCAGATGTCCGGAAACATCGAAGTCTCAGTCTTGTTGTTCAAGTAGTCCACCATGCAGTGTATTCATATCTTTGCAGTACTGTGTTCCAGGCAAGCATGCAAAGTTTTTGCTTCATCAATCCTTGAAATAATTATCATGCCTCGTGTATTCACACCGGCGAGCAGTGGTCGAGACTTCAGGCACTGGGCATCATGCAGTCGTCTTCGCCTTACTCTCCTTGCTTCAGACTCCGTGCCAACAACAAAACCTTACCGGATTCCTGGCGTTGTGCGGACATGCACACAAATTTAGTCTTGGTCGACGTCGAAATTCGTAGCAATACCACGCAGGATGCAGTGAGGTCCGGAGCTTGATCATAGCGGAGTTCCATGCATCATATGACAGGCCCCGCCTTCACATCAATGCCATGCTGCATACAGAAAGTCCCGAACTTGATCGCAGCAATGCGCTGATTTCCATGCAGCATGTGACAAGCTCCCCCACGCTCTGTAAGGACCACGTACCTTCACGTCCATGTCTTAATACGCTGGCACCAGCAGCCAGTGCTGCATGTGGCTATCGTCAGCACAAGCAGGTGCAGGCCAGTGTTCGCACGGGCCAGTGTCCCAACAAAGCCAGGTATCCGCATGGTCCAAGTGATTATCAACACAAGCAGGTGCTGACCAGTACTTGCCTATGCCGTATCCCAGCACAGCAAGTTAGTGGTTTGCACTTGACAACCCCAGAAGAACAGAGAAGTCCAGTGTGGACCTGTTGGATCTCTGTCCGAGGCACCAGGCACAGCAGCATCGCAGGGCGACACCAAGGGTGGGGAGAGTTGAGAGAGTGGCTCAGGCGTGCGGGCGATGCCCATACCTGTCAGTCATCATCAACGAAGCAACCCATGTTGTCACCATCAGCAAGGTCATGTTCAGCTTGGGGGAGGCTCTCGGTGAGGGCAATCAAGTTCCTGAACGACTCGACAGTGCTGTATTAATTGAAGCATTACCAATGAGGGCAGTCAAAGAATACGTGACTAACCTCGCCAATAAACAATGCAACTTCTCCAGGCACGATATCAAAATGGCAAACGTGGTAGCAGCCGCAGTAGCAGCAACAAACAACAAGCTTGCACCGCTAGCAGCAACAACTACAACAACAACAACCATCGCAGCAGCGACAACGGTTACAACAACAGCAACAAGGCCAATAACAAGAATACCAAAATGACAAGAACAAGCAGCAACAACAACAACAGCCACACCAACAATAACAACAACAGCAACAGCTGCAGCAGCACTAACCCTACAATACCCTACAAGACCACCACCACAACATCACCACCACTGCCGTCGCAACCACCACCACTAGCACCAGCGCCACCAAGCAAGCAAGCAGGCAGTCAGGCAAGCAATCAACCAACCAAAGCCCAACACCAACGCCAACGCCACCGCCGCCACCACCACCGCCGCCACCGCCGCCGCCGCCGCCGCCCGCGCCACCCCTACCCCCACCTCCACCCCCACCTCCACCACCGACAACAACAACAACAACAACAACAACAAGTAGTTACTTGTTACAGAAACAACAGCAACAACGTCAATAACAACTGCACACCACCAACACCAACACCCACACCCACAACAACGACGACAACCGCAAGCACACCCGCCAAACAGCAACAACACCAACCGACACACACACACACACAAGCTGCACGACCACCGCCACCAGCTAGAACTAACAACAGCAGCAGCAGCAACGAACAGCAGTAGCACGAGTACAAATGAAGAGAGAAAGCAGTCTGCACACCACAGGCGAAAACCACGCATCACCACGTGCGCAATGCAACAACAACCTTGCTCGATCCTGTTGTAAACGTGCGCGGGCCCGGGTGACAGCGACATGCAGTTTGTCCTGCGTGGCTCGAACGGTTGAAGTTCATGCGGACGTTGCATTTTCCTTCTATTCTCATTTTTTAATGCATCTCCAGCTTTGTCGAAATGCCTGAAACTGTGAGACGTGTTTCGCCTGGCCAGGCCTGGCCTACATCGTAAATTTCTTCTTTTTGCCAAGTTGGCCATTTCGTCTTGCACGGTGCATTTTGTACCATGCACACCACGAAAGTTAAAAGCGCAATACAAAATCGGGCCAGGTTTTGAGACTCCTACGTGCAGGAAGTGGCTTTTGTCCCATGCAGTGGAAAACAAACGAAAAGCTGCAGATGAGGAGGACGGTCATGATGATGAATTGAAAAGGCCGTGTGCATGCTCAGCTGGGGTGGGAGTGGACGGTTCGGGCACGTTTTTGCGGTTCGAGGATGGATGCTCTGGTAATTCAATGGGATCACAGTAAACGAAGTACCGCAAACATCTATTGGCAGGTGAGAAACGGCGCTGGGAAAACCGACGGCACTGACATATTCGGCACATGAAGCAGAGAAAACATTGTAGATACCGATGGAATCGGCATATCAATGTTGCATGTTTACACGGGGATCGAGCCAACAACAACGACTATTGTGATGACGATGATGATGGTGATGATAATGATAATAATGGATGCTGCTGCGGCTGATGATGTTGTAATGTTGCTGATGCTATCTTCACCATCATCATCATCACCATCACTTTCATCCTCAAAACCATCCTGCAGCAGCGACAAACAACGCTGAAATGACAATATAAGATCGTGGCACTAAAGCGAGACTTCTGAATGGACCCCAAGTCCTCGGCCTGTTGGCCCTGCTAGGAACAGGCGATTTCATGCCAAGCCGCCGCGCGGAGCAGGCAGGGAGGTCCGAGCCGTAACACAGCACTGCGCAGGGACGCAGTTGAAGGCAGCTTGGATTCAATGCTTCAAGCGTATGCCCCTTTGGGGCCCGTCCTTCTTTTGGCCTCGTCCACTTTTGGGGGTTTGGGTTTTGGCGCTTCGAATTTCATAACAGTTCGACCACTGTTGGGATGCCAGGCTGTGGACAGAAAGCGACGCGCTTGGTGAGTAAATCCAGGGAGCAGCCCACGTCCGGAAATTCGAAATGCTTTGTGGGGCGGTTTTCCTAGACCTCCTAGACCCCGCAACTCCGTTCTCTCGGGGCAGATGCCAACTCGTAAAGACAATGAACAATAAAACCGCTGACATGGGGTCCAGGTTGTTAGTGCAACGACGAATCTCGTGCTTCCGACAACCTGTCTTTAATTTATGAGAAGTGTAAACTCTACGTGCCGATGCCAGCCTTGCATGGACTCACAGCAGACAACAGCGACTTCAAGACCTGCGTCGAAACTCCACAGGACATTCCAAGTTTGCAGGCACATGGTAACAGGTCTCGAGATCCCAAATACATTGAGGCAGATGTCATACTCATCGGCATGCCAGTCGAAGCCTACTCCAGCCATCCTTCACTGTTGAATCGGCTTGCACATGGCACGCTGCGAGCATGTCTTAAGATCCGGACCATAATGCTTTGCAAGGCTGATAATCCTGAGTGCTTTGCAAGGCTGATAATCCTGAGCCGACATGTGCCACCGCTGCACCGATGCATTCTACCCATCCCCGTGCAGGGCTCTTTGTCTTGTGATTGGAGTGAAGTAGTCATCCATTCTTAACCCGAAGCGCGCGAGAATGTCTACTCCCGAGCATCCCTGCGCAAGAAACCTGTCGGGACACTCGGCCGGCAGACCAGTGCCTGCGCAGCCACGCATTATACTCTTCCTGCTGGCAAGATGCTCGTTTTCCCCACCCCAATGGAACTCCTTGCAGCCACTCACTTCCGAGTCATGGTTGAGCCTACGGACTCGAAGTATCATCCTGAACGGAGATCTCAAACTCAAATGAAGCCTCTCATGGGAGTGGGGGCGAGAAGGACAAGAGCGTCAACCGAACGTCCAAGCTCTGCCGTGTATCACCTTTCAAACCGCTATTGGTAGGCTAGGCTCTTCGGCTCACTTTTGTCGGGCAATCTCCGAGAGTAGCGAGTTGCTGCGTAAAAAGTAAAGATGCCAAACAAGCCACGGGCCCAAATACATTTGCACCGCCAAGAAGCAGCAAGGGCCTAGGGTGTTGGGCCTGCAGGGGCACGGACCGGGTTGTTGTGACTTTGTCATTCAGAGCTGCTCAGTGTTGAAATCTCATGCTTCGCACACTGGCAGTGACAACCAACAGTGGAAGTACACCCTTCCGATGTCTGAAGGTTTCTGAACAACCTTCAAACTCTATGGTGTGGACTTTTGACGACTGGAGTTGGCTTCAAGGCTTGGTAAATTGGCTTGAGGCAGTGTCCCTTTGGGATTGCGGCCCGCAGCTGCTGCAGGCAGGCTTCGTTTCTGATCCACTCTGCATACTCCTCGACACTGTTGAAGCCCAGAAGTAGAGCGCGAGTCAACGGGTCAGGATCGCGAAGAGCATCTTGCGCACAGACCTGTGTGACTCAAGCGCCGAAAACCGTGTCTGCATGAACTTGCTGCTGAAGCCTTCAGTTTCTGGGTCTACGGCAGGACGACTGACCCAGGAAAGGCTGGAAGATTACAGTCATTGTCGTGATCGCTTCACGCGCAAACGAAGTGAGGCAAGCTCAATGGCACATAGATTCAGGGCGTGGTAAACCTGGAATCCAGGAATTAATCATTAAGTAGTTGCTCAGCTGCACCCCGCAGGATCCTCCAAAATGCTAAACCCCATGGACACGTTTTCCCACCGGGCACGAGTCTAGCCAGACACCGCAGCTCAATCAGCTTGACTGAAGCTTCTATGGCTGCTATGTAAAGCGTGAACGGGGCTGCAAGAGCAATCGGCCCTAAACCGTGAGCACTACAAAACCTACGTACCCCAACTGGCAGCAACATCCCAAGTCACAATTCCAAAACCGAGATCCTGATCTCTGCCGAAATTCCCGGAACCTAGAAACTCAGAAAGCCTAAATAGAAAGTCATCCCGAAAGCCTAATCATCTCCCCAATCCGACTCAATCCTAAACCCATAAATGATACTCTGCCATGAGATCCCATAAACCCCGAAGCATGATGTTGTCACTAAACTCCGCCTCTCGGAGCTGGGCCGCCTTCGCCCGACCCACGTCGCCTTCCTCGTGCAATGGCAGAAAAGGGCCGACAACCACCGAGGCTTTTGGAAGATTTTGCTGGAACTCGCAGGTGCGGTGTCAAGAAACGCGACTAGCGAGTCAACATTGCGCTTCGATCTGTGTAAGCATGTCGGCTGGTGTGGAACGCAGGCCTGCGAGCCCAGATTGGACTTTTTTAGCCTGTTTCCGACTTGCAAAGCCTAAGGACTGAAGCAGGGCCTGACGAAACACGTGGGCATTCGCTTGTGGCCATTTGCAAGATTCGATCCCGACAGGAGGTTGGAGCTGAAAAGGGTCAGTTTCCAGGATGATGCAATAACCATGGAGGTAATTCATTAAGTTAAAGGGCCCCTTACATGTAATGGCAGCCGACGTGGGTTTGAAAGCAAGGGGCCTACGCTTCTGCTTCGTGAACCTCGTGCTGTTGTCAGGATTCCCGGACTTGCAAGGCGGCAAAGATTGCTTTCGACTCTGAAATGTGATCGATAATCTTGTCAGCCTGGCTGGGTGAAGCACGTCTACTGACGCTGTCCGTGAAATTCTGTGGCTGCTGTGTTGCTACCATTGTCACTACTGATCTTGCGAGCAGCAACCCTGTCGTCAGCATCATCATCATCATCATCATCATCATCCTCCTCATCTTCTTCATCTCAGCCCGTCTCAAACTCATCATGTTTGGAACTCCCTGCAAGGACAACCCTGAGAGTCGTAACATGGCCGTCGTGCGACAACCAAAGCAGTTCAACCGTGATATAAACCAACAAACCTGATTAATGTGTCCAGTCCTCTATCACCGGAGGCCTCAAACGCACTGAAATTCCCGTCTCAGTGGCGGCAAGGTAGGCAACGGCCCAAAAGAGGCAGCTGTGGTCGTTCCTTGCTTTGCAGTCAGTGAAAATCGGGGCCGAACATGAAAGTGCAGGCCTTCACATCCCGCAGGGTGGTGCTTAGGGATCGACGGCGAGCCTGCTCCCGGACGCACGCAAGTTGGAGCCTCTTCATGGTTGTTCTTCCTGTCACTGCCATGGCTTGCGCCTCACCACTTGCCCGCCCGCCCGTCTCTCCACCCACCCAAGCAAACAACACACACACACAAACCTTTCGCAGCACTTGAGCAATGCAGCCCCAACGACAGAAACCAAACATTCGCCTCTTGCTGGGCTGTCGGACCGTACTCTAGCGCATGCTCTGGCGTCCTCTTCCAGGGTGTGAAAGCCCTTATTAAACTTCCTTTGCGGCAGTGGGTCGGGACACTTCTGCGAATTGCTTCGGCGGCCATAGGTGTGGGAGCTCGACGGCGGCGGCAGCACATGTCATGGCTTGGCCCACATCTCGGGCCAAGGTGTGCCAGGTTCGGGTTTGAACTCTGAGGTGCGCACGGGATCCCATACTACGACTAGTCGACTCTGCCTTCGGAACTGTTGCGCAGGGGTCTTCAACTCGTCGAGCCTGGGTGCAGGGGCTCATGTGGAGTTGCGTTTTGGGGTTGCTCTGAGCACCGGTGGCGGCAAGCCAAGCATGTTACTCAGCCCCCGAGCTACGGCAAGGACGGAGACGCATGTAGACTCGCAGCCCATGTTGAGGGCTTGGGGGTGCAGCGAGCCAAATGGCAAATAACGTGTCCCTTACCACGAGGCTGTCCATGCGTACACACACGTGCGCGTGCCCTGATATAGGAGTTCTGTGTTCATGAGTTTCTGCATCTAAGACTACATAGCGTTGCATCTATGCAGACAGGCATGTGGACATACAAACGTGACATACATATACACATGCACAAGCATTCAAGCGCAACCCACCCACACACATAACTAACTAACGAACCAAAAATTATGTTCTTATGTATGTGTATAGACGTAAGCATACGCATGTGCGTATACACACATGCATGCACCTGCATGTGCAGGTGTGTATGCAAGTGCAAGTAAATGTACATACGGACGGACTCGTATGTATATATATATATATATGTATACAAACACATACATATACACATCTCTTCATACACTGACACAGTCCGTTACATGTGTACATATGCATATATTTCATTTCGAGGCGTTCAGGGGAGTACGCGTCACTAATTACATGCCAAGACCCCTCAGCGCCATAAAAGGCACCGCAAGGGGGTGGTCCCAGAAGCACTCCTTGACATCGATCGCCCCCACTGGTCCG